TGGTTGCGCGTCTTCACAACCAAGTCATCGACATAAGCCTCAACATTACGTCCTATTTGGCTACCCAAAGAAATTCGAGTAGTACGTTGAAAAGTAGGACCTGCATTCTTTAACCCGAAGGGCATTGTCGTATAACAATAGGTTCCTATGGGGGTAATGAATGCAGTTTTTTCCTCATCCTCCCTAGCCATGCGAATCTGATGGTAACCAGAGTATGCATCTAGAAAACACAAAAGGTCGCACCCCGCGGTGGAGTCGACAATTTGATCTATGCGAGGCAGGGGGTAAGGGTCCTTAGGACATGCCTTGTTAAGGTCGGTGTAGTCGATGCACATCCGAAGCTTGCCGTTCGCCTTGGGAACGACCACCGGGTTCGCCAGCCACTCCGGATGGATGACCTCGCGGATGAATCTGGCCTCCAGAAGTCGCGCCACCTCCTCGCGGATGAAGGCTTGACGTTCCGGGGCCTGCCGCCGCACTTTCTGCCGGACCGGCCTTGCGCCCGGCCGCACGGCGAGACGGTGCTCAATCACCTCCCTGGGGACCCTGGGCATATCCGCCGGTCTCCATGCGAAGACGTCAGCGTTTGCCCGCAGGAAGGAGACGAGCGCGTCTTCCTATTTGCCGTCCAGAAGACCACCGATCCGTGTGGTCTTGGACGGGCCGTCGCCCAGGGCAACCTCCTTGACCGGGACCTCGTCGCATGTGATCATCCGCTGCCTCGGGGTGGCGGGGACGGAGGTGCCAAGCCTCTCGTCGCCACCCTCGGGCTTGGACGCGGCGGCGAGGTGGTCCGCGCGCTGCTCCATACAAGCAAGCGCGACTTTGAGGTCGCCATGGACAGAGATGGGGCCACCGGGGCCCGGCATCTTCATCTGGAGGTAGGCGTAGTGGACCGCCGCCATGAACTTCACCAACGCGGGCCTCCCTAGGACCGCGTTGTAGGGCAGACTGAGGTCCGCCACATCAAAGTTCACCCGCTCCGTGCGGAAGTTGGCGGATCCACCGAAGGTGACCGGAAGGTCGATATGACCTAGCGGCCAAGTGTGCCCCGGCGTCACACCGATAATCGGCTGGGACGGCCGGAGCACCATCCCCGGGGCCTTGATGGCGTCAAAGGCTGCGGGGGAAAGGATGTTGAGGGCTGCTCCCCCATCAATGAGGACACGCCCCAGCTTCACGTTGCAAACAGTGGGGGAAACCACCATTGCGATCTGTCCTCCCCGGGCAACGCACGGTGGGTGGTCGGTCTGGTCGAAGGTGAGGGCAATCTCCGACCACCGCGCCCGGCACGTCGCCTCATGAGTAGGGGCCGCGGCCAGAAGCTCTCGCTTCATGGCCTTGAGGCTCCGGCGAGAAACGTGAGCACACGCTCCCCCATCGACAGTGGCAATGGTGGCCCCAGGCTCTTGGAAACCTAGGTCATCATCGCCGTCATCGATGTCCTCGGCGGGGGCCTTCTGCTTGGCCTCACTTCGCCGATTGCCGGAAGGAACCGCCGGGGACTTGCCCTCTCGGCGCTCCTGCCTCCTCTCCTCCTCCCACTTCCTCGTCCGCTCAGCCAAACTTTTGACTGCGCGGCAGTCCGCGAGGTCGTGAAGGGAGGTGTTGTGGACGGTGCACCACTTGCCGGTTGGGCCTCCTTCTTTTTGTCGCTCGCAGGCCTCCCCTTTCGGGTGGCCCGCGAAGCGCCCTCGACGGCGAGGACATGACCCTCGTCGTCGGAATGGGCTGACCTCTTCTTCCTCCTCCTGTCACGCCGCCCTGTGCGAGCAGCGGATCCGGGGGCGGCCGAAGCTGCCACACCGGAACCGGAGGGGTTCCAGGTCCATGCCTCCTCCTTACGAGCCACTCGGTCCGCGAGCTGAAAAAGCTCCGCGGTAGTCTGGGGCTCTTTGGAGGCGATCTTTTCGAGCATGCGGTTGTGCCGCACACCCCCCCTGAACGCGTAGATCACCGCGTGTGCAGGGATGCATGGTATGGTGTTGCGGACTTGACAGAACCGCTGAATGTATGAGCGAAGTGACTCATCATCCCTTCGCTGTACTGCGTGCAAGTCCGCTTCCTCACCTGGGCGCGGATATGTGCCTTGAAAGTTCATGGTGAACTGTTGGCACAAATCCTCCCAAGAGTGGACGGACGCGGGTGGCAAGTTCATTAGCCAACCCCGCGCCTGTCCCTTCAGGGCCATGGGAAAGAAATTCGCCATGACCCTGTCGTCACCCCCGGCGGCCTCGATCCCGGTCGTGTAGACCTGGAGAAACTCGGCGGGGTTGACGCTCCCGTCATATTTTTCGGCGATGGTGGGCCGGAACCTTGGGGGCCAACGGACGTTCCGAAGGCTCGCCACAAAGGCTCTACAGCCGACACCACCAACCGGGGGCACGGAGGGCTTATCCCCGCGTCCGTGTTGAGGTGACACTCCGGACGAGGAGGCGCCCTCCGTTGCGTGGGCAGCACGTCGGCCATCACGCCGGCGCTCGATACCGATGCGGGCATCTGGCCCCCCACGCTGATCTTCCCGGGTCGGAGGCGCTGACGAGGGAGTGGCAGCCGAATGACGAGCAACAGCCGCCGCTCGCCGCGCCCTCCGCCTTGACGACACGGAGCCGGTGGTAGCAGCGCCAGAGGTCTTGGTGGCGGAGGACCGCCCACCAGCACCTAAGCGCTGCCGTGCCGTCATGACCAAGTTGGCCACGTCGTCCAGCCATCGTTGGGCTGGAGACTCCGGGTCAGGGACGATGGGCGGGTGACGCAGGAGCGCGCCCGTAGCTTGGAGCGCGCCCTGGGGCGTGCTGCCGTCGCCGTAGACGAGGAGGCGACGCTCCCCATCTCGGCGCCCTTCTCCATCACCCGTGGATGTCGAAGTCGCGGATCCTTCGACCCTCTCGAGCGCCTCCTCCCTCCTAGGACTTTGGCGTGGAGGGGGCGGTGGAGTACGAGCTCGACGGAGTGGGTTCGGCTCCCCGTCGTCACCGCTAACGCTCGGAGAGAGGTTGTGCGCCTTTGCTTGTTCGGCCATTGGGCTGAACAGGAAAAGCTTGGCGCACACGAAAGAATACGAGAGCTTAGAAAAACACACGCAGAGCCAGATGACGGAGCGTGGGGCTCCTCACCGGGAGACCGCGCAGGCCCCCCTTTGCCGGTTCAGCCGGGGACCCTGGGCGAGATTCTAAGCTTCTAGTCTGTGGAAGGTTCGCGAGAATGGAAGAAGCACAAGACACGGGCGATGTATACAGGTTCGGGCCGCTGAGAAGCGTAATACCCTACTCCTGTGTTCTGGTGGATCTGTGTATGAAGAAGCTACAAAGAGCTGGAGAGTCAGAGAGCTTTTACTCTAAAAACCCTCTCCTCTGGTTCTCAATCCAGCCTCCATCGTTCTCCCTCCCCTCTCTAAGTGGGCAAGGTCCTCCTTTTATACCTCAAGGGGATACCACATGCACCATCTCTCTCTTTTGTCTGGGGACTTATCCTATCTTTTCTCCAACTTGACTTGCCTTCTCTTCATAAATGGACGGAGATTTGTATGGTTGCCGTCCGAATGACCTTCTGATGGGACGGCCCATACCTACCTCCACTTCCGCCGGAAGCACGCGCGACGTGGGAACATGGCTGTCTGCTGACGACATGACCAGTGTCAGACCGGTCACAAATCGGTCATTCTTGTCCACCACGTGTCAGTTTAGCAATCTGCATGTTCGCCCTTCTTCATACAATATCTTGCTTGTAATGGTTAGGATGAAGCCTGGCATATATCTGACCGGGACCAACGTGCCATCTCCAGGAGGTAACACGCCGGCTCCGGCTAGGGACGAGTGCTTGGAGGCTCTCATCCTGACGGGATGGGGCGAGGCGTGTGTCAGACCGCCTGTCGCCACCTAACCCACGATCTGATCGGTCTGTGACTGGTCACAGACCGGATAAACGAGCGCGCTGCACTGCGTTACATGCGGCGTGACGCGCTCGTCCAAACCGCAATAAATGCGGTTAGGTGAGCCCTACTGCGCTCACCTAACCCATACACGCGGCGCAAGACCTACAAGGGGTCGGGGCGCCTCAGCCCTCGGGGCCGAAACGGGAGCGGTCCGACCCCTCGGGGAGACAAAGAGGGGGGCGGCCACATCACCCTCGGGCCCGACCCCCCCGAGGGGGTCAGGCCTCGTGGGTGATTGCTCCTGCCCAAGCCTCTAGTCATGATACTCCCGGTCCCATGTCACCGACACATGCCATGTGGCCCTTTTAGACAAATGAGATTAATATGGGTTAATTTTGTGGGAAGAAATTGCCCATTGCTAATGAGGTTTAGTATGTCAATTGTAACTTTTAAATTAGACTACTACTAGTAAGTTTTAATATCCGCACTAGCTTTTTTAAGCATAGAAACGCTTCTTAATAAATATACATCTATAAAACTATATTAAGATATACAGTATTGTTATTAGAGCAGGCTCTAACGGGATTAACTTACCACGGTCGAGGTCAACATTTCATCCTCATATCTTCCCTTCAGAAACACAGGGCTGGTTTGGTTTGTGGCTAAAATTGGCCTTACCAATTTTTGGCAATGCCAAATTTTGGTAAGTTTTAGCATGGCTAGTTTTGGCAAGTTAAAGTTGTGTTTGGATAGAAGTCAAAATAGCCTAACTTAACTATTGAAATGGCCTATTTTCTTAGGCATGCCAAAATTTGGCTTCAAACCAAATAGACACTAAACACTATTGAAATTGCCAAATATTGATAAGGCTAGTTTAGACCTCAAACCAAACCAGCCCACAATTAATTTCTCTGTGTCAAGCAATTACTAGTGGACTGTCTAAAAATCATTGCAGACTGTTGCTCCCACAAGGAAAGTAAATAAAGGAATAAAGTAAAAACTGAGGGGTGGCAGCCAAAAGATACAGCAGAAAAAAAAAAAGCTGCAGGAGTCGACCAGAGCCCAGCTGCAATAGCCTGCGAGTCGGCAGTACAAAAGGCAAAGCGAGCGCACGATGAACTTGTAAAGAAGGGAAAAAAAATACGAAAAGCAAAAAGGAATAAACGGAGGGGGCTAAACACCAAAATTCCCCCTCTCCTTCTCCTTCCCCTCCTCCCGAAACCCTCGCCGCCGTCGCTGTCGAAACCCTCGCTGCTGCTGCTGCCGCACGGCGCGGCGGGGTACCGGGTCCCCCTCCCTGCGGCGGCGCGGAGGGGTAGGTCTCCCCCCCCTCGCTGCGGCGTGGCGGTGGGGGGTGCGGTGCCGGCTGCCGCGCCATGATCTTGCGCCGGTGGACTGCGCCTATCCAATGTGAGCTCTCCTCCTACTTCCGCCGCGGCATTAGGGTTCTTGCTTCTTGAGCTGGAAGAGTTCTCTTGCGTTGCGAACGCCTACTGTTTCCTGCGAATTCTTAGTGCTTGTTCTTGGATTCTTTCCGGGGGTGTTCTTAATCTGTTGTTTGCAAAAGTTCTTTTTTTCTTTTTTTGGCTAGGGTTTTGAAATTTGCAATCTTGGTGTTCTTTTCCCTGAGTTTTTACTAAAAAGCTGCGGCTTTTACGCAATTCGGTGGTAGTCCAAAGCCGCGTCCTTTTTTTCTAGTCTTTACGCGCATTTGGCTCCAATTTTTCTCCTTTTTTTAGACGCGTTTTCTTCACGCTAATATTCGCAACTGAAATCTTAGACCTAACGAACCATTCTAAAATTGATGATCGTTACATTCTTTCTGCAGAAAAAAAAAAGATAAAGATAGAACAAGTAGGTTACTTTCCGTACCATGGGGCGACCGGGGATGGACTCCAGCGAAGGGAGGGAGAGCAATGGCGTTGTTCCTGAACGTAATGGTGGTGCTGTCCCTGCAAAACAGCAGTTGGACGGGAAGGACACCTTGCGGTACGCCAACATCCTCCGCTCCCGCAACAAATTTGCCGAAGCACTCCAGTTGTACAATAATGTCCTTGAGAAGGATGAAGCCAATGTGGAGGCCCTTATTGGCAAAGGGATTTGCCTCCAGGCACAGAGCCTACCTATGCAGGCCATCGAGTGCTTCAACGAGGCCGTCAGGATCGACCCAGGGAATGCATGTGCTCTCACTTATTGTGGGATGATATACAAAGATGAGGGTCACTTAGTTGAAGCTGCAGAGGTATGCGTAAGATTCTTCATGTGGATTCCCTGTTCTTACTGTTAGCTTATTCGTTATTGTGAAATCTGATAGTTTTTCTTTTTAGTTTGTTGTCATAAACACTAGAAGTCTCAAATGTTGTATATGTGGTTCTCTGAAAGCAAAATACTCAAATGCTGAAGTAAGTGCCTCGCACAGTCGCACTCCCCAAAATACCAGGCAATGAGACTTGGGACTTAACTGCCAATTTCTGACTTCTGAGGGTACTGCAGACCTATTTTTAGCACCAAGTTATATCTTGAGTGGTTTGTGTCCAAGAACTGTAACTAGAAACCAAAACAACTAGTTTGATAAGTTCTTGATCAAGCATACTATGCAAGAGATAAAACTGTCGAGATAATCACTCAAGAATTTTCCAGCAGAAGATTTTTTATTATCTCCATGACATACTTATTAGCACCGTAAAATTTTGTGCGTAGCTGGTGGATAGAATGACATGTGAATGAGCTAAGGCTCAGCTAGAGCTGCAAAAAGAGTAATACTTTTGCCCCTTGGAGAATAGTGGTCCCTATTAATTGGCAGGGTTGTAAAAATCCTAAGTTCCTAACCAATCTAACATATAAGATCAAAACAGTTGGTCAGTCCAAAAATTCTCTCGGAAAAGCTTGGAATTTCGACATTGTTTCTGTATTTATTATGTGATATATTTATCCATAAATGTTCTGATGGAGAGAAATTGTAACAGGCTTATCAAAAAGCTCGAAATGCAGATCCTTCCTACAAACCTGCTGCAGAGTTTCTTGCTATTGTGTTGACCGATCTTGGAACTAGCTTGAAGCTTGCAGGTAATACAGAGGAGGGGATTCAAAAATATTGTGAAGCTTTGGAAGTTGACAGCCACTATGCGGTACCATCACCAGCTATAATTTATATCTAGATCTCTATTATTTTGTTTTTGTTATCCATTTAAGTTTTTTAATGTGTTCATCTGATTAATGTAGCCTGCTTATTACAACCTTGGTGTGGTTTACTCGGAGATGATGCAATTTGATTTGGCTCTTACTTGTTACGAGAAAGCTGCTTTGGAGAGGCCATTGTATGCTGAAGCTTATTGCAACATGGGAGTTATTTACAAGAATCGTGGAGAATTAGAAGCAGCAATTGCCTGCTACGAGAGGTAAGCTTTATTTTTTCTGCTCATACAAATTATGCTGATTCCCAAAGTACTGTTGAAAACTAATGTTGACTTATCTTTACTGTATCCCAGGTGCTTGACTATTTCCCCAAATTTTGAGATTGCCAAGAATAACATGGCAATAGCACTAACCGACTTGGGTACAAAGGTGTGGTCTTGCTACCTTTTGTTTCAACCAAATCAACACATTGCTTCTTGTGGTGTCCTGCATGTCAATCATAATGGTTGCCATCACTTGCCCATCATATTAGCAGTCATGCGTGACAGGCTTGAACTAAGACTAGTGTTGATTTGAAAATTGTCTCAATCATGTGGGTTAATGAGGAAACATCATGATAACTCTATGTTTTTTCGTTGCTTGTCCGCTCACTTTTTACTCTGAGCATAGCAACTCTGGCAATATAATTAATTTTGACTAACCTTAGAATGAATCATATGAAATAGACCTTTTTAATTTATACTTTGGTATACCTTTAAGAATTGTTAACTCTGGCATTTGGTGGTGATTTTTGTATTTTTCTCTTATCAATTGACATTTTTCACAGGTAAAAATTGAGGGTGACATTAATCAAGGTGTGGCATATTACAAGAAAGCTCTGTTCTACAATTGGCACTACGCTGATGCCATGTATAATCTTGGTGTCGCATATGGTGAAATGTTGAATTTTGAGATGGTCAGTCATAAGAAAAAAATCTTTAATATTCTGTACATAATGTCCTCTCTTTTGCTGACACTCTTTTCTGTTTTCCAAAGGCTATTGTTTTTTACGAGCTTGCTCTGCACTTCAATCCTCGCTGTGCGGAGGCATGCAACAACCTGGGAGTAATATACAAGGACAGGGATAATCTTGACAAAGCTGTTGAATGTTATCAAGTAAGTGGAACTAATTATGCAGTATGCAATATCTGCAGATAGTCACAAGTATCACAACAGATTATTCATTATCTTCTATTCTGTTGTAGATGGCCTTGTCAATTAAGCCAAATTTCTCTCAGTCATTGAATAACCTTGGAGTTGTCTACACTGTCCAGGCATGCTCCTCTGCTAGTCTTGCACAATTTCTATTGGGATTGGATGATTGTATCATGTTTTAGCTTATTGAATATGTTGTTCTTCATATATAGGGAAAGATGGATGCTGCTTCAAGCATGATTCAGAAGGCCATATTTGCAAATTCCACGTATGCTGAAGCATATAATAACTTGGGTAATGTTTAACCAACCAACATCATGAGAGCCTCTTAAATTCTGCCATGTAATTTGAAACAGCATTTTCCAGCTGAGACTCATAACAACTATATAAGCACTAATCAGTAATTCATTTCATTGCTTTGCATAATTCTCTTTTTGATAGCTGGAATGAGACTTTAATACGTAACTGACAATCCATCACTGCTTTCACCATAGGTGTTCTTTACAGAGATGCAGGAAGTATTACTTCAGCCGTACAAGCTTATGAGAAATGCCTTCAAATTGATCCTGATTCACGAAATGCTGGTCAGGTACTTTCTTTGTCCTAAGCTTGCTAATTAAAACTTGTGTAATCTTTCTGTGTTGCATGGAGAATTAAATTTATTTAAGCAGGTACAGCTAATAATTATACTTATCCATTTAGTAGCAAACTGGGAAGCATATAAATGTTTCTTCCTTGTATAAATAGACAAATACTTGTCTATTGCATGTTCATAATTTGTTCCAACCTTGATGTTGCTTGCCCACGGTATCTGTTTTGCTGCTTTTTAAAAAAAAATATATATTTGTGGAATAGCTATGGTTTATATTTGTAACATTCAACTTACGATATAGCTTGTTCTGCAGAATCGTTTGCTTGCGTTGAATTATATTGATGAGGGCTTTGACGACAAGCTTTATCAAGCTCACAGGTCATTTAGCACTTTTTCACAATATACAGTCATATTTATGTTAGATTGTTTTTTCTGTTTTTATGTGTTAGAAATTCTCAACTATATATTCACTGTATTTTATATTTTGCAGGGAGTGGGGAAAACGCTTCCTGAAATTGTATCCACAGTATACTAGTTGGGATAACCCAAAAGTCGCTGATCGTCCTCTGGTCATTGGCTATGTGTCTCCTGATTACTTTACTCACTCTGTGTCATACTTCATTGAAGCTCCCCTTGCACACCATGACTACTCAAATTACAAGGTGGTTGTGTATTCTGGTGTTGTGAAGGTAGATATAGCCGTTCCTTTTCTTGTCTCTATTTTCCTGCATTTTCACATTGTGTCCCAAAAAACTTGTTTAGACTGTCTTGCCTCATTAAGATTTAAAATATATATGGAAATAATTTATGCAAAAATATTCCTTTTGAAAACAGAAATGGTAGTTCAATGGTCAATAGGATAGTGAACTGTAATTATTTTTCAAGATAGGCCTCTAGACTATGTCCAGTTTCAGGATTACCACTTTATTATTGCCTAGACTGAAATGTTTTAAATAGTGGGCTAAGACATTTAGTGGTTAGCCTTCTCAAACAGCTATAGCTATAGCGGCTAAATTGTACATAAGAGCAAATATTTAGCTAGACCCTTCTCAAACAGCTATAGCCGGAGATTTAAAATGCATATCCTGAAACCCCCCAAGAAAGATTATCCCAGTAACAGCGAATATATAATTGGAAATCATCCAAGGTGGCTGACAACTCGGGGCCATTTATTTGTGACATATCAGTTATTTTCCAACTTGCATGTTTCACTACTTGTACAAAGAAATTAGGCCCAATTTATCTGCAATGTGTTCGAGTACCTGTTTTAATCACAGTTCATTCATGTTTTCTTCAATTGAAAATTATTTAGGCAGATGCCAAGACCCTTCGATTCAAGGATAAGGTATTAAAAAAGGGTGGGTTGTGGAGAGATATATATGGTATTGATGAAAAGAAGGTTGCTAGCTTGGTAAGAGAGGACAAAGTGGATATACTTGTGGAACTTACTGGTCATACGGCAAATAACAAGTTAGGAACAATGGCATGCAGGCCTGCTCCTATTCAGGTACCTTTGTGCCCATGATTCATAACTGTCACGTTACCTAATTTCAGAACTATTTGGACAGAAGTGATATCATCAGATCATTATGTTCTGAAACCAGCTTCTTCTGATCTTGCTAACATGATTGCTTCCTTTTCACTCTAGTCAATGAAACTATTCAAGTGTCTAATAATAAATGATTATCTGACTATTCTACTATGTGATTAGTGAACTGACAGGGGCTTCTTTTACTTGAATTGCCTGCACAGGTTACATGGATTGGCTACCCTAATACAACAGGTCTGCCAACAATTGACTACAGAATAACAGATTCATTGGCTGACCCACCTGATACAACCCAAAAGTAAGACATCTGCTTTTCTTGCGGTGATAGCTTTCTGGCATGCACTTTTATACCCACACATCTAGAACGTGACGGTGACAATTATGAATTATCTGCAGGCATGTTGAAGAGTTGGTGCGCCTTCCTGAAAGCTTTCTTTGTTACAGTCCTTCCCCAGAAGCTGGGCCAGTTTGTCCCACTCCAGCAATTTTAAATGGTTTCATCACGTTTGGGAGTTTTAATAATCTAGCAAAGGTGACACATAAAACTTGAGTAATCAGTTCATTTTTACTGGATCACTATTTATTGATTTTTCTTTTGGCAGATTACACCAAAAGTATTGCAAGTTTGGGCCAAAATTTTGTGTGCAGTCCCTAACTCCCGTCTTGTGGTTAAGTGTAAGCCATTCTGCTGCGACAGTATTAGACAGAAATTCCTATCAACACTAGCAGAATTGGGTTTGGAGCCGTTACGAGTTGACTTGCTGCCACTCATCCATCTCAACCATGATCACATGCAAGCATATTCCCTAATGGACATAAGGTCAGTTATTTAGATACTTCCTCCGTTTCATATTATAAGACTTTCTAGCATTGTCCACATTCATATAGATGTTGTGTCTAGATTTATTAACATCTATGTGAATGTGGACAATGCTAGAAAGTCTTATAATATGAAACGGAGGGAGTACATCTTTTATCCTATGTTTAAACATGTTATGTAAACGAGTAGATCCATTCTACTGCATTGTATCTTAAATTGTCTGAACTTTGGTTGGTTCCTTTGCAGCCTGGATACGTTTCCATATGCTGGAACTACTACTACATGTGAATCTCTATACATGGGGGTTCCATGTGTTACTATGGCTGGCTCAGTCCATGCTCATAATGTTGGTGTTAGTCTACTCACTAAAGTTGGTACGTGTCTATTTACTCTGTGGTGTATGTAGCAATAGATCGAATTGCTGTACAGTTTTATTTTCATGCTATTTGTTGATCGACTTGTTTTCTTCTTTTGCATCGCCATGTGAAGACTCGGAAAAAAAATCACTATTGTGCTGTCTGGTTTTGAGTTTTGATACATATAACTTGATGATTGGAGCAGGAATTCTAGCTATTGAATCTGACCTTTCTTTACACAGTTGAATCAGGTCGGGTATATGTTCTCCTTGCCGAATTGTTGGTTGACATTTACTGTTATTCTTGCAGGGCTGGGGAGGCTGGTTGCGAAGTCTGAGAATGAATATGTTAGCTTAGCATTGGATTTAGCGGCAGATGTTACTGCCTTGCAAGAACTGAGAATGAGCCTCCGAGGGCTGATGGCGAAATCACCAGTGTGTGATGGAGAGAATTTCACACGTGGTCTGGAATCTGCATACAGAAACATGTGGCGCAGATACTGTGATGGGGATGCACCTGCCCTCAGGCGGTTGGATCTGTTACAGGAAGAGCCATGCTCCAATAACAATAAGCAAGATTTTGATGACAATCAGGTCGCAAAGCTCGCAGATCTGAAAGCACAGAGAGTGGATGCCGCGGTAGATGGAGACAAGCAATCCCAGTTAACAGCGCATGCTGCAGTAGTAGGGGAAGTTCAGCAGGCCCCAATAATGGTGAATGGTGTGAGTTCACCTGTCTCTTCTGGGAAAGTTGAAGCAAATGGGCACATAAGCCGGTGACCAAGGGGAGTCGAGCATACTCCATTGATGTGGGAAACACTGACCCACTGTAGCTTGAGATGCACCATTGCTGTGGTGGACATTTGTTCTTACAGAATTCGACGCTTTGCAGGCCTACACTGGGTGTCTCATTTGTCTGACACCCACAATGGATAAGAAAGAAGAGCACTTCTGTGCCATCCGACGGTGATTTCTCTGGTTACACTTTGACCTTTGTAGCAAATGTAAGATTGATGGGGGATATGCTTATAGAGTTTGATTTGTAGAGGTATACCCCCTGTGTAGGTTTATGAACATGATGGCTTCAGTTGCCATATGTTAGAAGAAACAGAGAAAGAGGAGGAAGCCCTTGTTGTAAATGCAGAAAAAACAGAACTGAAAAACTACTAGAATCAATTGACGGCGGCATTTCAACAGGCTGTGTCATGATGTACATCTTCTAGTTCTGTGAGCCTGTTATTTCTTTCTACAGTCGCCATAGTATGCTTGATAGAAAAATGGTGCTCTTTTATCCCCTTTGTCAAAAATCATGTTATTATCTACACGCATCAAGTCAAATTCTCAAATCATGGAACACCAGTTTATAAACATCTTTTTTTCTAAATATGTAGATTAGTTGCGTGTAAACCATACGCAGATTCGTCTAAAATGCTGTTTCTCTAGCATTGCAATTTTGCAGGTTTTATAGAAATCCATGAATGGTGGTACTATGTCAAGAGCAGCCGTTTTGTTTTGTTGTTTTTCCCTTTATTTGTGCTTGTTTTGTTGTTTTTCCCTGTTCTTTGTGATCTGGAATTAGATGTGCATCAACGACCTAATGCTAAGAAGCATGACTGGCGGAGCTCTACACCGATCCTATGATTGCTTGAGTCGTCAATTTTTCAGGGACTGTTGAAGCGCATGAGTTTATGTTTTGAACATAAAAAAAAAATCCCTGAGTTGGTACAGCATGTAACATGCTGAATATCAGCTGAATTACATCATGCGCTCAAAATGACTTCATATATTTCGAAAGTTATTTCCACTGATAATCACTGAACACTACTCGTTCAGGTGAGAATAATTAAGACGGATCACGATTCATGAGTTGTTAATAACTAAACTAGCCCATCCGAAACGATACACCACTGCATAAGCACGGAACAAGCAGGAAACAATTCCTGAAACTGACAGCAGCTACAACTCCAAATACCAGAAGTCATGAGTGACACCGAGTAGACCCGCTGTGCCTCAATCTTTGACCACAGTCCGCAGGATTTTCACTTCATGGATGGGCCTGAATCAACAAAGATAACAAGTCTGAATAAATTCGACAGGAAAAATGCATATCGATCATTTTCCCTTTCAGTTTTACAGGCACCATACATGGATTGTACACATGATTTGGTTATCTCCCTCCCACCATTCGCCCTCACTCACCCGCAGCTCTCATTGTTCTCTACCATGATGAATACTTTCTCCGTTTCACATTATAAGTTAAAATTATAAGACGATTTGAGTTTTGGATAGATTAATGCATGGATCCATGTATGTGCTAAACTGCTTATGGATGTTAGTGAATCTAGCCAACGAATGGAGAGGCCAAAACATCTTATAATGTGGAACGAAGGGAGTAGATCCTAGCCAAATCTACTAACGCTGCAACTCATCATCCCAAATATTTCCCTCCTGCTGCTACCCTGCTACCTACTTTGCCATTGCATATGCATGGTAATAGCGAGGCGTTGCACTCACTCAACTCTCCCTCAGGACAAATCGGATGCTATATCTATTATGTGATATGTACAACCATGGCATATAGTTTTGGTGTTACCTATCACTTTTGTCTGTCTGGACACTTCCAAGGCGCTTGACAATTTCCATTCCTTTTGATACTCTCCCAAAAATTGTATGCTTTCCTGGAATAGGAAAACCATATAACCTTAATAGCATGAAAATGTACCTGACTTTCAATGTGGAAATTTCGAAAAGAACATATTTGTAAAAGCAATCCAGAGTGCGAAATACAATGTCAAAAACAGATGTAAGCAGTGACATCCTGAGGGGCAAAATCTTCCAGGGTTGGCAATTAGGAAGAAAAAACAGTGATGGTGCTAGCAGAAGTCCTTCACAATTGCATTACACATTAACAACAATGCAGTCCAATGTACCAACATCACAATACAGAAGAACAGGAGTCCCAGAAATCCACCAGAAGTCTCCAAGAATCACGCTCCTAGTGATTGCACTAGACTCAAAGTCACTCTACAACAGGCTCTTCAAAAGCTAGTCCCAAGTTTTTCTTGTAATTATTCCAAATCTAATATTAAAAAAAAACTTGCAGTGATTTGATAGTAAAGTTTTTAGGTTGCAATCTGAGAAATTGTTGATTAACTCCTACAGAGTGAACTTCAGCTTTCCAGGGCAATGCAAAGAACATTCATAGACAGCAAACAAGCGAAAGCATAATGTAAAACTGGAGCAACAATGAGACAGTACGGTAGACTCACCATCAAGTGACTGACAAGGCGCAAGAGTAATAAAGAACTGGCTTCCATTTGTATTTGGACCAGCGTTGGCCATCGACAGAATTCCAGCGCCGGTGTGCTTCAGTTCTGGCCTAATCTCATCCTCGAACTTTGCTCTGTAAAAACACAGCAAGAACACAAACATTTGTAAGGATTCAAACAGAGCCCCAAATAGAATGCAATAACGGCGTGGCGTGGAAAATAACAAGGAATAATAAATTTAGCTACTTTTACAAACAAGATGCTACAGGAGCCCAGCAACAATGGTACAATCGCTACCAAATGCTGCTACACAATAGGTACTAATTCCCTATTATGTTTTTAACAGGTAGAAATACAGTGCTATCCATCATGGGTTGATGATGTGAGCTCAAAATACAGTTCAAAATCGAGTGTTACAGTTGCAATGCAATCTTACAAATTGAAAGAGGAGGAAAGCAAGAAATATGCTGACCCGTAGATGGATTCGCCGCCTCTTCCGGTGCCAGTAGGATCCCCACCTTGCACGATGAAATCCTAAACCGCAAGAAGATAAAAGCAGTAAAGAAAACCTGACCGGATTGATTAATACTCCTATTAAGCAAAGCAGCAAGCAAGGAGTGGGCAGAAACCTTGATGATGCGATGGAAGATGACGTTGTCGTAGTAGCCGCGGCGCGAGAGCTCGAGGAAGTTCCTGCAGGTCTTGGGCGCGTGCTTGTAGTACATCTGTCGATCGACGAGAGAAGCGACCAAATCAAATCAAGGAGCAAGAACTTAACTCGGTGTATGCCGACGAAAAGAATAGCTCAAGAGAGAGACGGCCGAGCCGAGCCGAGCCAATGGTACCTCGATGGTGAAGGCGCCCATGGATGTCTCCAGGGTGACCTCCGGCGTGCCGCCGTCGGCGCTGCCCCACATCTTGGGCACTGGACACGGCGGCGGCGCGAGAAGAGAAGAGAAGAGGAGAGATTCCCTTCTCTCTCTTCGGAGGAGGAGGGGAGGCCACAAATACGAGGGCTTCTCTACATAATTCTTATACACTATAAATTACAGAAAGCCCCTCACCAAATATAAGAATTGCTCCTTATTTTCTTGTGAAAGTGAAACCGAAGAGGAGAAGTTTTGTTTTCTTTTCTTTTCCTTGTGAAAGTGAAACAAAACAAGTGAACTCAACTTGTTGCTCTCCTTGTCTTTTGGTTCAAAGAATGTAAAGTGAAAAGGCTACCTGTTTATTCATTCATGATAGATATAGTACATAGATACCACTTGGATCATGCATAGCAGGTTAATGAAGAAACAAAAGCGAAGATTTCTAGATAGTGCTAATACAGATCGAGTCTCCTACTACAGTACTTAACAAAGCAATAGGGATGCAGACAGTGACGACATTCAGATTTAGTGCCCACTGTACAACATACACAGCAATAGGATGCATACAGTGACTAGTGCAGATTCCAACTACTACTCTTTGGTGGCTTCCGGCTCTGCATTTTCTTGGTTCTTGTTGTTCTTCCTTGGGCCATATTTGAAGATGGAGAGGTGCTTGATATACTGCGGTGATGCTTCCATGGCCTTCCTAATCTGCCCCCCCCCCCCCCCCCACACACACACACACACAAGCTCTTTGATGTAGCTGTCAGCAGTTCAGCATCTTAAACACTTCTAAAACACTAGGCCTAATTAAGATCTCTCCTTATTCAGTATGTAGTACTTCCTCTGTTTCACAATGTAAGTCATTCTAGCATTTTCCACATTCATATTGATGTTAATGAATCTAGATAGATTTATATGTCTAGATTCATTAACATCAATATGAATATGAAAAATGCTAAAATGACTTAGAGGGAGTACTTCAATAATCAATAGTATGAAGTATTATGCAGTAGATACTCGTATTGAACCTGACCAGTCAGACATCAGCGCCACATGAACGGCTACAAGAAAGAAAAGCTCATAGCTTCATAAAATTCACAAATTCTGTGCACCAACATACTGGTAGTATTGGACTTGTGCTACAGTGGAGCAGCAATTTCACATTTTTTTACAGGGAAAAAAATGAAGTTAGTCTAGTTACCTACCGGGTTGGGGTAGTCGGGGCCGTAATCGGCGGTGAGGAGGAAGTAGGCGGCGGTGGCGGCGCCGATCATCGCCGTACGCCGGACTATTCTGTCGGCTTTTGACCTTGGATCCATCAATCTTTCCTTCCCAAGCTTCTTCACTTGACGATTGATTGGAACGGAACGAAACTGCCAAGAAGTTCAAGAAGAAGAAGACACTAGAAAGAAAAGCAACAGATGGGCCTTTAGCTTTTTCACGGCCCTTATTCTTCTTCTGTCCTGGGTTTACAACTGGGCTTGGCCCATTTCCTCATGCAGGTTTGTTTAATTTCTTTGCTATATACTGTATCTAAATTCGTTCGGTTATTAGATAAAAACATCAGAAATGATGGTGAGAACAGGGAGATTCAGATAAATAAAATTGAAATGAAATATACAGCAGAAGAATGTGTATGTATAGAAATGTTTTCTAGCTACAAACAAGTTGTCTGGGTGGTGTAGTTGGTCATCACGTTAGTCTCACACACTAAAGGTCCCCAGTTCGAACCTGGGCTCAGACATTGATATTTCAATTTTTGCAGCATGCAAATCTTCATCATATATTTATGCCAGCCAATCGATTAATATCAATTTTTGCAGCATGCAAATCTTCATCATATATTTATGCCAGCCAATCGATCACTGGGCATTGCTTCAACATTCAAGTAATCGACCATGACAGAATCAAAGATACTTTTATACTACTGTCAAAAGGTTCTACAACAACACTTTGTTCCCTCTCGCGAGAACAACAGGGTACAACCTTACATTACTGCAATCTATAGATATAACTCAGAGAAGGATAAGGATGATGCACTAATAATTGGCCTTAATCAGCTAGTACAATTCTATCACCGGACAAACACCAAGTACAGTAGAGAAGGCTGGGGAAGATGATAAAGATCCCAGCAGCCAAATGCCATAACATGTTGATGAGACCTCATGCCTGGAGAGTTAACTGAACTTCTCCAGCGAGCGCACTATCCTGGTTGGCTCTTGGGTTGGGACCCAACAGCTGAGCTTGGAGCCAGCTAGATTACCTTACATAACATGGATTTGGATGGAGGCCATCCGAAAAGCTAAATGGTGCATCACCGATTGCTTTACAAATGATTCTTTTATAAAAGCCGGCACTAATGCACAAAGCTTTTGCCAATGGATGCATATACAAATAGATACTCGGATGCAGCTGTTCTGAACTTTTGATCCTATGAGCTTACGACTTATTCGATGTGCGCCTGCAATGCAAATACACCAGAACACAGTTTATCATGACACTGAACAACCAGATTAGTTAGTTAGTTTATCTGGAGCAAAGCAAACGACATGAAGAAGGCAAGTTTTTTTTTTGTTCTTGTCAGTAAAAAAAATGGAAGAAGGGTTAATTAGAGTAATCCGACCGAGACAGTGCTGCCTCGTCGGCTTCCTCTCGCCGCACCCATCGATATCCATCTCCATCTCATCTCGCCACCCAAAACCCTAAACCTCCCTCCCATTTCCGCCGCCGCCGCCATGCAGTCGCTTGCCCTCACCTCCCCCTCCCTTCCGGCGCCGGCGACCGCATCCGGCCGCCGCCGCCGCCGCCTGGAGCGCATCCGCGCCACCGCGGTGTCCGACGAGCCGAAGCTGAACAAGTACAGCGCGCGCATCACGGAGCCCAAGTCGCAGGGGGCGTCGCAGGCGGTGCTCTACGGCGTGGGGCTCACCGACGCCGACCTCCGCAAGCCGCAGGTGGGCGTCTCCTCCGTCTGGTACGAGGGCAACACCTGCAACATGCACCTTCTCCGCCTCGCCGAGGCCGTCAGGGACGGCGTCCGCGAGGCCGGCATGGTGGCCTTCCGCTTCAACACCGTCGGGGTCAGCGACGCCATCTCCATGGGCACCCGGGGCATGTGCTACAGCCTCCAGTCGCGCGACCTCATCGCCGACAGCATCGAGACCGTCATGGGCGCGCAGCACTACGACGCCAACATCTCCATTCCTGGATGCGACAAGAACGTCTGTATCTTTCCTCCACCCTTTCCCCCCTTTATCCTTTTGCTCGATCCGTTCTACAAACAAAAGTCCGCATCTTTCTATTCACTGTTCCATCCTGCTAGTTTGCTTCCTAGACGCAATTAAAAATGCAATCTGTGCTGAGAAATCAGACTGTGGTATCATCAAAGTAGGCCTTGCGCTGTGATGTCCGCTTTGTCCATAGGTGTTTTAAACATTTGGGGATTTCATCCCCAATTGGTTCTGATATATATTTTTCGCCAGTACAAAGTAAACAGATGATAGAAAAAATCCATTATCCCTGCACATTCAGTTAAATGCATAGTTTGGTTGTTGAAGCTGAGGTGATTTTGGTACACTGTTTTGTACCTACAACCTTGTTTTGAAGAACATAACAAAGGTCTAAAATTTTGTACTTCATTTTACCCCATGATGCTTTTGACATTAGGAAAGCTTGTGAGATAACTGCGGACATTTAGATCTTTGTTGCATTTGAGTTTAATGGTCCTAATCCGTTGCAGATGCCAGGAACAATAATGGCAATGGGGCGGCTGAACCGACCAAGTATCATGATATATGGTGGAACTATTAAGGTAATTCATCTCTGTTCTTTTGATGTAGGATTGTATTAATATTTGAAGTAATTTGAAGATGTTAGTGCCAGATACAATAAAACAACCTTTTTATGCATAGCAAATAATTCATGCTACAAAACAGTTCAATATGGTTGGCACCATGTTTGTGGACTGCCCTTTTAATTTAATAATAATGGGTTTGTAGTCATTTACCAGTGATAAAACATGGTGAATATATGTCAGTTCTGAATTACGTTCACTTTTTGCTGAGCATTTTCTGACGGGCTTTCTGTTCATGCAGCCTGGTCATTTTCAGGGTAATTCTTATGACATAGTATCTGCTTTCCAGGTACTCTGCTTCTTATTTGCTAGTACTTTCTAATGTAGCAGTATACAGCTTATTCTTACTTTTGTCGTGTTATGATGTACAGTGCTATGGAGAATTTGTTACCGGATCAATCAGTGATGAGCAAAGAAAGAATGTGCTCCGCAACTCATGCCCAGGAGCAGGTGCGTGTGGTGGTATGTACACCGCAAATACAATGGCATCCGCCATCGAGACCATGGGTATGAGCCTTCCGTACAGGTGCAAACAATATGCTGGAACCTTGTCTTGTTTTCTTTTTAGGCTGCATAATCAATTTGCTCTGAGTTCAGAAATTGAACAGAACTCTTATCAGTTCTGCTGTGTTTTATTTTCTGAAGTTCTTCAACCCCTGCTGAAGACCCACTAAAGCTAGAGGAATGCCGTCTTGCTGGGAAGTATCTTTTAGAATTGTTAAAGATGGATTTGAAGCCTAAAGACATTATCACTGAGAAATCTTTGCGGAACGCAATGGTCATTGTCATGGCACTTGGTGGGTCTACTAATGCTGTTTTGCATTTAATTGCTATCGCTAGGTGGGTTATCTTCCTCTTGTCTGCTTTTTAATGTCTTGGATAGACAAATGCTGATTGTTTTCTTCTTTCAGGTCTGTAGGTCTGCAATTAACTCTTGATGATTTTCAGAAGGTCAGTGACCAAGTTCCTTTCCTTGCGGACCTTAAGCCTAGTGGCAAATATGTCATGGAGGATCTGCATAAGGTAAATACTTGATGCTATAAATATGTACTTGGTTTCACTTCATCTTTACAATTAGTGTTTGTGTGAAGCGCTCACAAAAATTCGTGCTTGCACATTTCAGATTGGTGGAACACCTGCAGTAATTCATTATCTTCTGGAGCAAGGTCTTCTTGATGGTGATTGTATGACCGGTGTGTGCCATCAATTTCTATTCATAATAATGTGTAGAAGCTCCTTTATTTGGGTACTAACCGATTTGTTCTTTTCCATCTTCAGTCACTGGGAAAACTCTAGCGGAAAATGCTAAAATCTTCCCTCCTCTGTCCGAAGGACAGGTAAAGCTCAACCCTGAATTCTTATGCCTTATTATCTAGCTCTTTGTATAGTAGCATTTACACATTTTATTTGTTCTTTCAGCAAATAATAAGGCCCCTGGACAACCCAATCAAATCAACTGGTCATATACAAATACTTTATGGCAATCTTGCACCAGAAGGTTCTGTAGCAAAAATTACTGGCAAAGAGGGGATGTTTTTCTCAGGTGCCTTTTGTTGCTCACCTTTTCTAATCCTTTGAGCCTCAGTTCCTCACATTATCTGTAAAATTTAAATTTGTTATGGTCAAATGGCAGGCCCTGCACTAGTGTTTGAGGGTGAAGAATCTATGATTACAGCTATATCAGAAAACCCAGCGAATTTCAAGGTAATATGATTAATCCAAAAGGTGCAATTTGGACACATTCTTTTGCAATTCAGAGGCCTGAAATACAAAATTTCATAGCAACCAGTTTTCCAAGTATTTGGGTAAATTTAATATCTGAGTTTTTGCTTATAACATAACTCTTTGCGCTGAAACAGAGAACTATAAAATAAATCTTTTGTATAAGCGCTAATGAAAAAAATCATACTCTGGTGCACTTAAGAATGCAAATATATATATTTGCACCTAGGAATGCTAATATATATGTATAAGTGTGGGGCAGATATCGTTTTGAAATCTCTGTGCAGTTGCATTTTTTTTTGCTAATGATTGGACCTATATTTTAATATAACTTACCTTTATTCCAGTTGACACAGTAGTCAACTTTAATTAGTTTTGCAAACTAATGCGCTTTATCGATATTTCCTTTTACGCTCTTGACAAGGGAATGCATTAGTTCACTGGGACAACCATGCATAGTCTTGTTCTGAATTACTCTGCTGGCATGCAATCACAACAGGGGAAGGTAGTAGTGATACGAGGAGAAGGACCGAAAGGTGGACCAGGGATGCCTGAAATGCTGACTCCAACTAGTGCAATAATGGGTGCTGGTCTTGGGAAGGTAGTTATCTTGCTGTCTTCTGAATGTCTGATAACTTTCCTTGTGACAGCTGATCAATATTTAACTTGTATTCAAACATCACTACAGGAGTGTGCCCTGCTGACCGATGGCAGATTTTCTGGAGGATCACATGGATTTGTTGTAGGCCACATTTGTCCTGAAGCACAGGTATTGTGTTGTAGTACTCTAGCATTGGTTACACATTAACCTATAAAATGTAACATTCTGCTAGTTCTTTTTCCTGCGGCCTTTCAAATGGTTCTTCCTCATGACGCTGCCAGCTAGGGGAAAGATAACCGCAGCAAAGATTGTTTTGGTTGGTGTTGTTTACAATGTGAATATTTTTCAGGAGGGAGGTCCAATTGGTCTTGTTCAAAACGGTGACAAAATTACCATTGATGTTGTGAAGAGAGTAATTGATGTTGAACTGACTGAAGCTGAGCTGGAAGAAAGACGGAGGAAATGGACGCCGCCGCCACACAAGGCTGCCCGTGGAGCGCTTTGGAAGGTACTACTACATACATTATATCACATTAACATTCCTGGTCGCATAAGATTGGCCTTTGGTAATGAACATCGCTGTAATCCTTTTATCATTGCAGTACACGAAGCTCGTGTCCCCTGCATCAAGAGGATGCGTCACCGATGAGTAGATCCTGCTGCTGCTGCTCGAGTAATAAAAAATAAAAAATAAAAAAGAGGAGGAATAGGAGGAGGTTTTTGAGGAACAGTTTGCATGTAACAGTAGTTCATGGTGGTGATTGGTGAAGGCTGATTGTGATGGTAGTTCCCTTCAATAAAATGGCAGTTTCCTAGGTGCTCAAGCAATGCCGAGGGAACTGCTTGCTGAATAATCCATTGTCTGTTGCTGTGTTGGACAAGTTTTGTCTGAAAATCGCCTGATGCTTGAGAAAAAAAAAACCGGTACTGCAATTTTATGATGTATCACTGGAATGCAGCCAGGAGCTACCAGATCTGTGTTGCATTTTAAGTGTGATCCGATGAGCTGTGCCAAACTAATTTCGCAATTTTTCTCCATTGCATCAGAGTCTAACCGTTATGTAAACTTGTGCCATTATGAAAAATACGCTTTTCTGAATAGAAAGCGTATTTGTACACCGTCCGTCAAGGCCCAAGTAGCAGCTGCGTAACAACGAGGCCACCACGGCCCATTTATCGGCCCAGCCCAGCCCAGGGAGAGTCCATAAGACACACGAGTCCACGACGGCCTCCCTCTTTCTTGTCGCTGCGCCTGCGTCCGATTCACCGTCGCGCCGCCGCCGCATGCTCTGCTCTCTCGCTCGCTCGCCGCCGCCTCCTCCTACTAGCTCTTCCCGCCGCCGCTGATCCGGTCAGAAACCTCCAGTCTCTTGGCTCTGCCGCTTCGACCACCAGCCATGGCAACCGAGCAGCCGTCGGAGAAGAAGCCGCCAGCATCGGGAGGAGAGAAGAAGGCCCCGCTCCCCAAGGTGGTCACGCTCAACAAGGCCCTCAAGCTGGTCAGCTCCGCCTCCACCACTCCCATGCTCTCTTCTCTGTTACTCTTTCCATCCTAGAAGCGCACGATGCAGTCCGTGCTAGTTAGGTTTAGAGGGTGCCTCGCCGTTGAACTCTCTTATCCTAAAAGCAGTGGTTATTTTTCTTTTCCTGTTTTTCCTAGTGTTCGATCGAATTCTTCGAGTGCAATGGTATTTCATGAACTAGTTCTATGTGGCATACTAACCCGCAGATTTAATCGTTCTCAGGCACAGACATGGGTGGACAAAATGAGTGCATCAGACCAGGATGAACCCAAAGCTAAGGATTTTGAGGGTCGCCCACCAGGGTATAACCAATTCAACGAATTGAATTTCTTTTTCTTAGCATTCCTGGATATATAAAACCCAGTATATATATGTGAGGCTGGCAAATTGATGTAGGCTTGGTCTTGGTGCTAAAGTGGCACCTAATGTAAAACGTGCGGCTCCTACTGATCCAGTGGAAAGGAGGTTGCTGGGGAAGGTGAACGCGCAAAAGAGAAAGGCCACCGAGGAGGAGAAGACAATTGCTCAGGAGGTGAATGATGATAGTGATGATGACAGTGGTGAGACTGAAAGCAGAACTAGTGCCTTTAGCAAGAAGAGGACGGCGCCTTCGGTTACTGCCATGCCATTGGGGAAGAAGGCCAGGTGACAGGTAGTGTGTTCATATTCATGTCTGTATCTTTCATCGGAATATTCACATTCTGCTAGATTAATTACCATGGGTTTGTTATACCCTGTGTAATTGCTGAACGTAAGGGTGGATGGTTTTTCTGGATATTGTTGGTCATTCCGAAGTTGAATAGTGAATAGCCTTGTAATTTTCAGCTACTAAATTGGTTTAGATCATGGAAGAGACCAAGAGAAGTATATTTATAATTTATAAGATGGTTTTTTCTAAGGCTAGAAATGCAAGGTTTCTTATATCTTTTTCTTTTTGGGAGAGAGTTGCAAGGTTTGTTATGCCTGTAATCAGTGATACCTCCATGCTTCAAGCTTCAGATTAATGAATGACCTCATGCTGGTGCATTGCACAAGACCAAACCCTGTAACTCTGTAACTATTGTATAGTGTATACATATTTGCATGTTCCCTTTCATGTAATATTTTCCCTCGATCTTAATATCATTTGGCCATCCTGGAAAAAAAAAAGTATTCCCTTGAATATTTTATTTTCTTTTAGCCATTTTATAAGGTGACAAATATTTCTGTAAATATCCATATATGCAAAATAACTTAAAGTTGGACGACTATAGTTGAACAAGCCATATCCAGTGGCAAGACCATATAAACATGTTTCAAAACACCTTAGATATGCATGTGCAAACATTCAAAACATAATGGACAACATTATATCTCTAGCACAAGGAAACTCTGAATATTTGTTAGATCCTTATTTGCAGTAGTGCTTCTGTCCCAGGTGGCAACCTGCCATTCTGATCAACAAACCATTTCCTGGCACTAGAGGATGCTGATATGACCCGAAGTCGTCGCAAAGGCCAGCAAGCGTATCTTGTTCTTCTGTGAGCACTCCCTCGCTCCTTTCCTGCATGCTCATCTTCTTGCTCTATCTGCTTTGTCAACTCTTCTATCCTCAGTTGTAGCCCAGCAGATCTACTGTCTGCAAGCTTGAGGCATTCATCAGCAGCAGCTTGTGCTGCCATTGCAGTGGCAGCTAGTTTTTCTTTCAGCTGTAGCTTACTGTTTGCAGCTTCCAAGTCTGCTTTTACCCTTCTCAGTTCTTCTGTGAGCAAGGCGACCTGAAAGGGACCTAACTGATGAGAACATGCATAATGCTCATGATAAATGACGTTATTAGGTGTCACATATTGTTGTGGTATCATCAGAGTACTGTTTTTCCCAACTGGAGTGACTGCAAACTCAAGAATTCCAAACTTATGATTGTTTTACATAATAAATTTGAGCATGATTCATCCTTTTAAATTTGAGAAAATTTGTATAAAATTTGTCAGTCTGAAAAGAACGGCGCAAGCCTCATGACCTCAGGAGATCATCTTGAGGAAGCTTAGGTCAAAGTAATTACTGAAAGATTACCTCCTGGTTGAGTTGTTTGATAGCATCCTTTCCAGCTTCTACCTCCAATTCACATGCTTCCCTCCATCTTGCAGCCTCCCGTTCTACTTCTTTTAGATCTACAGTGAGTTCTTCAACCTTAAGCATTGCAAACAAGAACATCAGGCCCTTCTCAGTTACCTGGCTAGCAAATAAAGAAACTTAAAATGTAAATTTGTTTATACGCTGTGAAGTAGGAATATTTCTCTTTCTTCCAAATCTTTAATGTGCAACTCGTATTTGACTATTTTCTGGGCCTGTTCAGCAGCAAGAAGTTGCAAACGATCACAATCTGACCTGTTGGAACAATTTGATAATGTCAATTAGCACCCGTATTAATGGAAAAACTTTTGAGTGTTTCATCAAATTTTCTATCATATATACATCTTTTTCGATGACTTTTGTAGTTTACCTGGACTTATGTAAGGCCTGCCTTAGGTCATTTATCTCATTCTGCATATTTTCCATCGTCTTTCCAACTACTGAAGTCTGAAACGAAACAGCTAGACGGATAATTAGCTGATCAAGTTCTGCAATCAGGAAATTTTTTCCTTGACAACTCGTCAACTTGCATTCACGGTCATAGAATAATGTTTGTCAACTTTATTGGAAGCTTGCAGGAGAATTAGTTCACAGGTACTGAATGTTGATGTTATATATTGCAGTAAGTTTAGAAGGATTATATATAAGAAACAGATATACTGGAAATTATTGATTTCGTAAGAATGAATACATAAGCCAGTGAGGAAGAATGAGGAGTGATGTAGAACTATTTACCAGACTGTCAACGCCCTGATCGCTTTCTCTTCCAGTAGTGGATATTTCAGTCGCACTGTTGCTGCTCATGTTTTCCTCTCTTTCTGATTCTCCAGTGATCACATCCATGATGAAGCCAAAGCCAACCTTGTGCAATCCCTTCTCAGCAATCTGCAGGATTGCACTTCTGCCCTGATCCTTATCACCCTTCAGTACACAGAGCCTGTTTTCTGCTGCCTCCTTCTCAGTGACAGCAATCTTCAGCATGCTTCTGATATCCTGGTTCTCCTTCTTTAGGCTTGATATCATACTCCCAAACCTTTTCTCTTCTTTTCTTTGCATCTCCATGTACCCTGAGAAGTTGATCTGAACCTCCTTTGCCAGCTCATGTATGTGATGAGCCTGTGATGCTAGAATCTTCAGGCCACCCCTTTGATCATCATTGTTGACGCTCTCGTATAGCCTGTCTAGTTTGTCGTCGTAGGCTCTATCCAGGATGCTGTCTAAGATCCTGTGAACCAAGTGGAGTGAGGTCGTAATCTTGTGCATGGCAACCTTTGGTTGATAATCCATGGCAGAATTCAGGGGATGCAGAAGCTGAGATTGAATATGTGGGGGGAAAGCCAGTATGCATGCAACTAACAGTCAAGGGAAACCCTGATGAAGAAGAGTAGTTGGCTGAGCTGAATCAGGTTTGTCTTTCTTCTTCAGCACATGTAAAATTACATTGTACACTGTGCTGCTGCTCTTCACTTGAGCTTGACAGTGAGCCGGGAGAATTCGACATGTAAATTCACCAAACGGGGTTCGGCGGGTAGAAAAGCATTTCTAGTTTTCAAACGACCGGACAATGCAAATTTCTGTGTACTTGATATTCTAACTTAAAAGAGTTTTGAATTTGAGAATGTTGGGGGCCTTTGGATAGAGCACCCTCCAAAAATAAAAAGAGTTATTGAATTTGAGAATTGTTGGGGGCCCTTGGATAGGGCACCCTCCAAAAATAAGCGTATGCTGCTATGTGCGGCGCGCACACGGTATTCTTTAGTAAAAGGCGAAAGAATAGTTCGCTTTGTGCTCACCGCGCAGCTGCGTGCCCTTCCTCCGCTAGCCGAGGTGGTACTAATCAATCTCCCACACCACCTCCGCCTCCTACTCTCCTCTTGGCAATGGGCCACTTTATCATCTCTTGGGCCTGATCGTGGTAGTGGTGGGCCTTGAAGCTGAGTTGGGCCTTGCAAAACCGTTAACCGACCGTGGTAGTGGGCCCCACCAGCCTTACCTTCTTCTTGCGCCTTGCGTTCCGAGTTCCGACCACTTCACGTCTTCACCGCCAGAAACCGACGGCCGCCGCCGCCGCCGCCGCATCTGCATGGCCGCCGCCGCCTCTCCTCCTGTCCCGTCCAAAGTCGACGCCTCGTCTCGGCCCGACCGCTCCCCCAGGTCCGTTATTCTTCGCTCCTCTGCCCCCCTTCGTGTTCCGCTGATCCCCTTGTGCTTTTGGGGGGAATTGGAGTCGCCGCGTGCGTGCGTACGACCAAATTCTACTCGGATTCTTCTTCTTGCTCATGGTACTAGTAGTTCTATAAGACGAGAGAGCGAGGGGATTATGCTTTGTAGATACTAGTATATGCTTAAGCTTAATCCTCTCCTTCAGAATTTGCTGCCATGTCTAGCTTTCTGGATTGGTACGACTACGGACCAACCCGATTTATTTTCCCCCGGTTTATGATGACCTCTCAGTTAAAATTTCTTTCCTTTTGGTGTCATCCTGCAGGCCGCAGAGCTTGGAAATCTCATGGGATTCACAAGGTAGTACTATTTAACTATCTGTTTATTGCTGCTCCCAATTTTTTTTTATTATTGGTGTATATTACTTCCTGCCTCATGCTGCTCTTCGATTCAAGCACATCAAGAACCAAACCTTTCTGTTAGATTCCTCTGCTACGGTATCATTTCTGTACACCAGGGCATCACAGATAACAACTGTATCATGTGACCATGTCAGATGCATGCAAGCAGCATGCTATATCTTCTGCACTCAATACAACTGGTGGACCTAGACTAATACTCCTATATTTCTTATGAGTAATGACAGTTTCATTTTGCGGCAAAGATAGCTGCTTGTCTGTTTTTCCGTCCACAAAGTTATCCTGTAGCCTCTTGTCATGTTTCGCTTCTCTAGATTTCCTGACTACTTAGAAATAAGTCAATAGCTTCTCTCTGCGCAAGCAAATGCTGGCAGCTCTAAATATATACGTGGTGGCTGTGATTGTTTGCAAACATGACTTCTTTATATGAAGGAGTACTCTGGGCATGTAAATGCTGAAACAGTTGTGAATTACCATGCTTGATACCAATTACACGGACTTCTGCGCCATTAATGAATACTTTCATGTACGCTGCAACTGATACCTTTTATTTAAATTTTGAATTACTAGCAGCGTTATGCAAGCGTGCAGAGAGTTGCGAGTTGGAGGCAGAAGTACCCTCTATCAATCCTACTTTGCTTCCAGTTCTCGAGGATTTACTTATAGAATTATATGCAATATTGCGTCCAAAGCCTGATGACTATGAGCAACGGCATTTGATGATCGATGTCTTCAACAAAATAGCAGAAGAGATATATGGTAAGAGTTATATTTCATCTGTTATCATGGGTCGATGAATTATGCTTTCAAAATATGCGCTTTTGATCATTGTAATTGCTGACTATGCTTGAAAATATAATATGAGAGTTGCAAAAGATGCATTTTCTTGTAATTCATACACATATGCAATCAGGGAAATTCATTTGCAGTTCAACAATAGTGTGAATAGGGTTTTAAACACCTGCAGTTATGATTCATATGCGTCAGCATTCAGCAAAATATGCTTTTTCTGTGCACCTCAGTTATGGATTGCTGACACCTAATGGTCAAGCAAAGACTTTTGCTTCTGATGCTAGAAAGATGCATAGTGCAAAATTTTGTGTTGAAACTTGTACATAACAGAGCATTGGTGAAAAGGATAATGCATTTGGAAACACAAGCATGAAAATTATATGAATTTGGCTTGATTTGTACTACAAATATGCCTAGTTAACCTCCTTTTTTGACTGTTAGTTGATCAGTTAACTTCAACATGCATTGTTCAGATTTCTGTGTGTGTCTACACTTTTGCAATACACTTTTCTTTACATGCAAGATTCCTTCTTTTACCATGAATACTTAGTCTCTGCCTGAATATTGCAAATTTGTGTGATATTATGACCTGTTTCCTGATTATGATGCCTCCTTCCAGGTAAAAAGAAGGGGTTTCCAGTTGTGGAAGCATTTGGATCGTTCACAATGGATCTATTTACTTCCAAAAGTGACCTTGACCTCTCTGTCAACTTTAATGCTGATTTTCATAGTCAATTTGCTCGCAAGGACAAGATTTCTGTTATTCGGAACCTCGCAAAAGTTCTATATGCTCATCAGAGTAATTATCTACACTCTCTAGGTTTATGTAACAGATCCAAAAGGGTCAACTTTATATCCATATATTTATGGTGTCCCTTCATATATGTTGCAATATGTGTCACACACCAAATATCTAAAATTTAAATGAAGAATTTAAATTAGTTTTGTTATTAACAGTATATCAAATTATCGGTGTATGTTTGATAAGAAGTGTATTCTCCTTGACATAGTGTTGACAATTGGACATAAATAACTTCATTTTGATATATGTCACCTATTTAATAGAACCTTTTGATGCCAATTTTAATGTGATTTCGTTTCCTTGTCCTTATATTGTCAATATCAGGGAATGGCCGTTGTCATGGGGTTTTACCTGTTGTAACTGCTAAAGTTCCTGTACTGAAGGTTATTGATAAGGGAACTGGGGTTGAGTGTGATATTTCAGTTGAGAACAAAGATGGCATGTCAAGATCAATGATATTTAAACTTATTTCATCCATTGATGAAAGATTTCAGATACTATGTTATCTGGTATTGCAATTCTCTGTCACATTTTTTTCGTTCCAATGGGCAATAAAATTGTTGCAAGAATCCCCATAAAGTGGCCTTCTAAAATATGTGACACCAACCGTTTCTGTTAATTCTGCAGATGAAATTCTGGGCAAAGGCACATGATGTTAATTGCCCCAGAGATCGAACAATGAGCTCAATGGCGATTATCTCTTTAGTTGCTTTCCATTTACAGGTTTGTTACTTTGACTTGAGTTTTTATTGGACTTTTTAGTCATGAGTATCAAGTAGTTAGGGTAGCTTCAATGGCCTCATGGAATTTCCATTAAAGTTCTACAGCCTGTATGTATAAGCTTGCAGTTAATCCTAAGTCCTTTTTTCTGTTGGCAAAAAGAGAAATAAACACACTTTTTATTAAACAATGTGGATTACAGACCCGGCGACCTCCAATCTTACCTGCATTTTCTGCCTTGTTGAAAGGTACTCTCTCTATTTTTAGGTGTATGTCATTCTCACTGCTACGCTTTCCTGGGATTGGTTTCTCTGTTGTTGATATAAAACTTATATGAAGAAACTAAGATAATTTCCATCGTCTTGTAGATGGTCCAGACTTTCCAAGTATTCAGAGAAATGTCTCACTAGTTGAGGGGTTTGGGAGCAGAAATAAAGAATCAGTTGCCGAGCTTTTTGTGTCACTTATGAGTAAAGTAAGTGAATTAAAAATGCACCTTCCATTTATGTTTGTTACAGGCCAATATTCTATTTTGAATCCATAGGGATATTGTTGAGTTATGGTTGTTTTGCCCTCATTTCCTAGAGTTTTTACATTGATTGACAAAGGGATATCTCCCCTTGCACATGACTTGATCTAAACCCCTGCAAATGTCTGAACAAATGCCCAGTTTGAAAAAGATTATTGACTGGATTATTGTAGTGGATTATCTGCACGGCGGTAAATACAAATTAAATATTTTGATAAAAAATATTAATAAATAAGAAGCTTAGAATAAGGGATCTAAGCAATGCAGTAGAAGAAAGGTTTTTGAGAAAACATATTTTTAGAGGCTAATAATCCGTGACAAAAATCTGTGACAGTAAACTCCCAGTTTGACCCAGCTGGGACGGGACGGTCCTGTTCACCTGGTCCATGTCACTGTTCTCTTGTGCCCTTCTAAACATTGTTCTCTTGTATAGCATCATCGACTTCATTATCTAATTAAGGGATCTTGTTACACAGTTAGAGAGGGTTATACCACCTGAGTCCATCTAATTTGTTGCTAGGCAAAGTTGTTTGCTTATTTTGGTGTCGTATATACGTATGAACGGTTTGTAAGCTGTTCATTGATTACTTAGTTAACATTACTTCCACAAAAGAGCCCTTCCTTCTTAATGTCAGAACTCATTATGCTGACAGACACTATTGACCTTCTCTCATGCAGCTACTATCAGTGGAGGGTTTATGGGAGCAAGGGCTCTGTGCTAGCAATTTTGAAGGGTCATGGATCTTTAAGACCTGGGAAAGAGGAGTTGGTAACTTGAGTGTAAGCTTTTCCATGAATTCATTGTGCTTTTTTAGTAACTTTTGCAAAAGTTTGTTTATTTATACACAACAAGCAATTCATGCAGGTTGAGGACTTCTTGGACCGGTCACAGAATTTTGCCAGAGCAGTAGGCAAGGAGGAGATGCAGAAAATCAGCGAATGCATAAGGGTCGCTGTTTTGAATTTGAACAATTTCTTTAGGGGTAAAATTGATGCACCAAAGCTGAAGAACCTTTTGTTTGAGCCGCCTCATCAGGATGAGCTGATCAGTAATCCCAGTCTAAAGCGTCCTAAGAGGAAGGACCACCCAACGCATGGCCCAGAAAGCAACCCACAGCAGCAAAAGAAAGCGAAGCATATTATTGGCCCAGAAAGCAACCAGAAGCAGCAAAAGAAAGTGAAGCATACTGTAAACCCTGGACCGGCCGCTAGTAGATCTGCCACTAATTTACACCGTCCTACCGCATTTGTGCCTCAAATACGGCCCATCCAACCAATTAATCAGGTTTCCCACATACCTCAACCTTTGGTTGACCCTATGTTTGCTTATGGGTTACCACCACAACAGCATCTACATTCAGCTCCCCTTTATTGTCAGGGGTTACTAGGTCAACAGCAGGGTAATTTCATCCACCTGAATCCTGGAATCCAACCGCAGCAGCAAGCCCAACATATGTTTGTCCCTTTACTAGAACAGCAACCTGTGATCAATGGTTTTCACCCCTATGATTTCCATTTGGCCCAGCTAATTCAGCATAACGAGAATATAGCGTTACAAAGGAATATAGCTTATGGAACCTATCCATATTACAGGAGATGACAGTTGCAGTATGAGAATGTAGCTAGGTAATGTTTCTGAGATAGGAAGTTCACACCGTCGCCATGTACCCTGGTGCAAATCAATTCGTTGATTTGTTGTAAAATTTAGTTGTGTGTTGTCATATATGTGCTGGGGAAGAAATTAAGTAGAGAGGCAGATTTTGCATAGCTATCAAAAGTTCTGGCAAAACCATGCTGCTGACTCTGCCACCTAGTTTTGTCACCGCAGATTGTGAGCTCTCATTTTTCCTTGTGCAAGTGGGGGTAAGAAGAATTCACGATTGTCATGGATCAAGATTGAGAGGTGTGCTGCAAAGCTTGCTGTTGAAAATTCTGTCAGTCATGCAAGATTGATGGATGCTGATGATGAATCACTTGGTGTACTAGCTTATATATAATAGTAAAAATATCCAGCAAGACCAACAAGAAGCAACTGCATTGCATCAGCATGTTATTCCTCTGCTAAGCATCCACCACTGCAGAGCAACCTCATGGACAAGAAATGGCAACATCTGCACTGCTGCTGGTGATAGGTATGGATGAGCTGTTCCAGGTTTGTTGGGTATCAGCTGATAAACTGGGACTGTTCCAGGTTTGTTGGTATCAGCAAAAACTGGAGCTGCCGCCCATGGTAATCTCAATTCTGGTGTTGCTGATGACCACATAACCTGATAAGATGGAAACTGCATGCAACTCACATAGCCCGGAACAAGATGCTTTCCATCATCACTCGTGTTTTGCCTGATGCGATGGAAATACCCAGACAAGGTGAGCTTTTGCACGAAAATGACATGAAAAATAATATGCCTCCCTTTTCCTTGCTTGCACTGTACATACCTGAAGCATATGATGTACCAGTACGATGGGATAGTGAACAGTATGCCGTTCTGTTTTTTGCCATGGAAACATCTGGATGTTTTGGTTTTGATGCAGATGCACATCATCGAAAGAGAAGTTCTCTTTAATTTCTACACCTGCAAAGACAAAGCTATCCTTGTCAAACAGGCAAAGTTGTAGATAGATACAGTGAATCAATGATGATTCAATGTTCCAAAGGTGTTCAATCAGCTAGCAAAAATATCTGCGGTTGTTTTCCTTTGCAAGCTGCATGCATTTGCATGCTGTAAATCTTCAGAATGAATCCAAAGTGGTAGTGATTGATTACTGGAGAATTGAATAAAAGTCGATGATTATCGATCTCGATCGCATTGCTTTTTTCTTTTTCCTTCTTTTTGATTCTGATCTCGATTGCATTGTTAATTGCCTCTAGCTCGTCCTGAAAACAGAGTAGCTAGGCAGCCTTGATGTTGGTACTAGTGCGTTGATGTAAGGTGATTTGACAAATCTGAGAGATGGAGACGTCATTTTGTGGATGCTAGCTAAGTATAAATGCTGATGTGGAATCATGCACTGAACATGGCGCGAAAGACAACTTAAAATGGACCAGCAAGTCAACAATACTGGCACGCATATGCATCTATTTAACTAGATGCTCAATCATCGATCGATAGATTGCGATTTACCTTTTCTAGTTCTTTTTTATCTCATCTGCCTTTTACTTTAACGAGAGATCGATTAAATGGTAGTACACTTGGAAGAACTATTTGATTGAATTATAAATCACTTGTAGAGAATTATATTGTCGTTAAGAAGGAAAAAAAAAACCACGTTTAATTTGTAGAAGCTGCAATGAAGCGCCAGGATGTTAGCTACATAAAAACGCCATAAAAAGGACTTGTTGACAGCGAGTATAAGAGCTAATTACAGGAAGCAGCAGTTAATTACTAGATCAGCCGCTAGCATATAGCACATCAGATTACTCAGCTGCAATCTTCACTGTCAACTGTTAATGCCCTGATTGAACCGCCACCGATTCCTAGAGCCGTACGTTTAATTTCTACAAGACTACGACGTATGAATACATACATACGTACAAATATATATATTTTCCTTTGATATATATTTGACCATTTGTATTATTTGGTTTTTTAAAAATATATAAAAATGTTAGTCTTATTTAAAGAACCTTTAGATAAATCAAGTCACAATAAAAAATTAATAACTACATTTTTTCAATACAATAAATGTTCAAACATATCTAAAAAGTTAATATCTTCGTCTGTTAAGAAAAGGAGGAAGTATTAACTGCAATTATATTGTACAGTAGATTGTCAGATCGCACTTCATGGTTTCACATCACATTATTATTATCTGGAGACGTACTTATAACCCTATAATTAGCATGCATCCGTGAATATACACTGGTGAGACCAAAAAGAAGCAGGGCAAATGTAGTTATTTATTTATTCATATCAAGAACCAGTTATATATATGCATGCGATGATCAGTTCCAACTAATAAAAATTATATCCTCGAGTACCCTAGCTATATACTCCATTAGTTACTAGGCTTGTTTTTGTTAATCTGAGAGATCAAAAAGGAAAGCTAGCAACATAACACAATGCATGCACGGAATAAAGAGCTATCCCGACCAGATCGATAGCTTATATATATAGTAACCTTAATTAGCTAGGTGTGATAAACAGTCGTGGTTTTCTTTCTCCATATGCTAGCTGTGTTCCAGCAAAACTATAAAATCATTATAATTAGCTAAGATGCTGTTGTCCTTTATACACATATATACCAGGTTTGACCTTTGATTGATCTCTTAATATATAACGTGAAAATAATTGGAGAGATAGCTAGTGCAGATATTAGGACATAATTAATAATAAGAGAATATGTGTATACATATATATAGTAGGACATTCCTTCTCTTACCGCGCGTTTTAATTTTCCATTGCCACCACCAATTCATAAATAAAAAATTAAAGACTGATGGAGTGCTCTAGATAGCTAGTAACTGGTGTAATAAGGGCAGTCCCAAGTGCAGGACATCACTAAAAAGGACTGATTGTATACCTTCGCGTCATCTTAATTAACTATAGCTAGAAACTAATTAATAGTACTCCCCCAATTAATGTATATATATATATAAACTACTACTACTCACATGTCTGTCTTCGCGATATTTTATATAAATTCAGCAGAGGTCTCCTGCATGTTAGACCAGGCCAGTTTCACATCCTCTTCTCAATTTTTTGTATGGTGCCACGTCATCTTTTATCCTATAAACAATATTTTTACTTTGAACGAGCTATACCTAGTAATCTAGCATTTGTTATAATTTCACTTAGATCATCTCTCTCTCTCTCTCCACATGTGGAAATGAATTAATCCATGCCGCCTGTGCTCCCGAACGTACGTCGATATGATCCAGCTCAGGCTCAAGCTACGCTCTGGCTCTGTTCTTGCTACACTATGCTTGACCTTAATTAACCTCTGCTTATTTAATTTAGTAGGCAATTAATTAAGCTCTTCTCTAGATAGAACTCAGGCTCTGCATACGCCGACGCAACGCTAGCTTGCGCTCGAGCTCCGCCTGCTCTCCATCAGCATTGTGTATTACATATATATATATATATATATATATATATATATATATATATATATATATATATATATATTTATTTATTTATTTATTTATTTATTTATTTATTTATTTGTGTGCAACTCGAGCTAATTAAGCTTAAGCTCAAGCTCCGGTGCTGTTGGCAGCCGATCGAGTGCGACGGTAGTCGACGCCCAGTTGCTTAAAGTGAGAATAACTGGTCCAAAATAAAAACATTAGCTCTAACCTAGTCGGCTAATCCAAAGTAAAACTTTCGTTACATATAATACATGGTTCAATGTCTAATTCACTCTTTGTCCCACGTGACATGTATCATCTTTAAAGCTGTGGCCACCATTAATTCTAGTTGAAGTACACTGCTGCTAGCTAGCTCCATGCTCGCTGCTCGTTCTCCACCAATTAATAATTATATATTTAGGGCTTCTTTGAATTGCAGGATGGCCTGATAAATAGAGGAATATAAAAAAAAATATAACAGGAATGTAAGTATAAAATAAAGAATTGCAGAACACAGGAAAAGCACCGAAATTGCCGTTAAATTGGACTGCAGGAAAATTGGAGGAGTCGGATGAGAGAGATAGATTTAAAGGAAAATTTCCAATATGTTGAAGCTCTTGCTAAGTTTCCTCCAAAATCTACAGGCAGAAAGCTATTTCATAGGAATTGCATAGGATTTAAAAGCTCCAAATCCTTTGTATATATCAAAGGGGCCCAATAGGAGAATTTTCCATAGGATTCAAATCTATAGAATTTCTACATAAATCCTTTGATCAAAGGGCCCTTATTAATTAATTTTAGCTAGTGGAAATCCATCTCAGTGCTATTCATAGAAATATAGCTTCTTTGAAACGTAGGATTCTCAAAACACAAAAATAGGACAAATGCAGGATGGTAATGTCCTAGCATCTCAAATCCCGCGGATAAAAAAAACATAGGAAAACTGCATGAATGATCATTTTGATGGAGTGCCAGGAGAAAGCAGGAAACATAAGAGAGATATATACAAAGGATTTTTTTCCCTAATTAAGAGGTTGAAGCTCATGTTAGAATCTCTTCAAAATTTTCATGTTTTGAGTCAATAATCCAAATGAATTTTATAGTAATTTTTATAGATATTCCTTTGATCTAAATAACCGTATAGAAGAAAAATGCATAGGATTAAATCCCCTCCAAGAATCCTTAATTAATTTGTTACCAGATGGTTAGGAAATGTACACTTACGTGGACGCCCGGCCACGTACGGTGCATCTCAGCAAATTAATTAAGGTGTGGCATACAGATACCGCTAGTTGTTTGATCTGTACTGTGACGCATTAACAATATCTGATCACTGGCTAAGCCGTAATTAAGCTTCAATATATATGCATGCTTGCAGCGTTAGCTTGTCTTGAAAAGAAAAAAAAAAGAAAACTTAGCTAGTAGCTATACTATTAGTTAATTGGCCTTTGGCATCTCCATTATATTAGCGAGCTAAGTATATATAGCTTTTATATAGTACATACGAGCACATACGCGTGTCGCCTGGTCAAGCATATAGTACAATATTGGTCAAATATATGTAGCTAGAGTCATAATTATATTATTGTTCCAAGCGTGACACGTTAGCTCCTCCTCTCTTTTTTCCCCACTTTGACATTGAGATGGATGAAGGGTACATGTGCAAGAACCCAATAGCTAGGATATGCGTGTGTTACGTTTCATGGCAAAAGAATGGCCAACAATTAAAGGCAACACTTATGGTAACCTATATAGTTGATTAGTCTTTTTTGTTGTGTGGACAAAGCCAACACTTTCTACATGGTAATCACATCCTAACTACATAGTTGTACTATATATAACTACTACTACTATGTAGTCTATATTTTTTGAAAACACTATGTAGTCTATAGACATAGCACATATGCATGCTTGCCGGGCGGCCTCTTGGATCGATCAGTTAGTCATGTCATTAGATTAGATCACTATGCATGCACAGTAGTAGTATAAATGCGATTATGGAGCTGCTCTTCTAGTAGCTGTAACTTTTTCTAAAATCTTCAGCTGCCAGAAGCTTTTTTAAACCGTTCCAGATTTTAAAAAGCTATAATTATATAATCCAGAAAATAAGCTATCTATTTGGGGAGCTTCTAACTTATGTAGCTTCTTCCAGAATCAGTAGCTCTCCCAAGCAATTCAGCTTTTGGTCCAGATTCTAAGAAGTTGCAGTTGTATAATTCAGAAAATAAACTAGAAGCCAGAAGCTAAAAAAATCCAGCCTTTTGAGATTCTCAGAAGCTGGCTCGCTACCAATTAATCAGCTTCTCAAAATTTTAAGCTCCTCCAAATAAGCCCCAGCTAGAAGCTACGTTTGTCAGTTTCTCCATATTCTCATCAGCTAGTTTCTCACCAGTTGTTTTTAAAAATCTTAAACTCCCCAACAGCAGCATATATATATATATGCCAGCTTGGTGCAAGCTATATATATATATATATATATATATATATATATATATATATATATATATATATATAGACACACACACACACATACATACATACATATATATATATATATATATATATACATATATATATATATACATATATATATATATACATATATATACATACATATATACATATATATATGTCGGTGACATGGGACCGGGAGTATCATGACTCGAGGCTTGAGGCAGACGCAATCGCCCACGTGGCCTGGCACCCTCGGGGGACGTCGGGCCCGAGGGTGA